TCAAAAATCAAAATTTCAGATGCGTGTTTTTTGAGCTCAATGACTTGCTTTCGACTTAAAAAGCTCCCTAAAGTCCATTCTTAAAATTTTTGGATGCACGATAAGGAAGATATCGTCGGTTAAAAATCGTGACCGCTCTAAAACTGCTCAACTGGGCCGAAAATGTCGATTATTTTGGATTTGAGGCTTTTAGCGTGTTTTTCAACCCGCTAATTGCATTAGTTGCTTCATTCAGATAAAAATTATGTATAACTCGAGGCAATTGGAGCAAATTTTTATTTTTTCAAAAAATCAACCTCATGAAATTTGCGATCAAAAATCAAAATTTCACATTTTTGAGTTTACTGGATTAGTTCTCACTTAAGAAGCTTCCCAAAGTGCATAATAAAGTGTTAGGATCGTTCACAAGGAAGACATCGTCGCTTAAAATTTGCAAACGCTCTAAACCCGCAGAAACTAGGACAAAATGTTGTTTATTTTATATCAGAGAATTCTAGCGTGTTTTTCAATGAGCTCGTAAATTTTCTCGTTTTTTTCTATTTAAAAAAAATTGACCCCGACTACTTTTAAATCAGAAAACTCCCGCCTCATCAAATTATTTGTGAGTGACAGTCCGTGAAATCCCGCCTCTGTATCAACCGATCCATGAAGCTGCGAACTACTCAAAGTTGCTAAAGAACGGCTCTTGGAACCGCCTTCTAAAAGTAGTTGCTGCTTATTTAATTAGCATTGCCCCAAGTATGTAATTATCTCTTTAACGCTCTTTCTTCACCTATTAAACGAAAATTGCTGGGCGCTCTCGGTTAAGGTGAGTTAATAATATTGCAGCATGGGGCAAACAGTCTTCATCATCAAGAAAGTACGGACCAATTTCTTCTCAAATGTCCAGCAGTATTGCCATAAATTCGCTCTCGTCTTTGGATTTTGATTAGTAGTTGTTTCGTCGTGAGAGTATTTATTAAAAGCTTGCGTTTAGGAAAAGATCGTTTGTCGTAAACGTAGACCAAAATGTGGATTTATTCGGAATTTAATATTTTAATGGAAGTTGTAATTTTAATATTAAAGTGAATGTTGCATAGGCGAACTAATTATATAATGCCAACCAGTTAAAATCTCTCTAAAATAATCCATGTATGTCGGAAAGAAGTTTTACAGCTACAATACGACCAAATCGATGCAGATTAATAAACGCCAGCATTCACATATAATTTTCCATAGAATCCAAAATTATAATATAAATAGACAATAGAGCAACGTAGACACTAATACTGTTGTTAAACCGGCGTAAAGCCAATATATCTGTGCATTGTGTTTCATTAATCCATTTAACTTTGGGAATTTCTGGCATTGTACTACCTATTTCAAGTCATTTTACTATTCACTTAGTAAGTTACTAATCAATAAACAAATGGATCTGAACCAAATATATCAAAATCAAAGTGTGATTCGTTTTCGTGTAATACAACACATATAATTATTGCATGTGCATACGCATACTTAAAGCTTATATTCAAATGAGTTTCATTATTTCAACAGAAATCATATGACAGCAAATACACCTACAAAATAACATGCATTTATATTCTCAACCCAAATAATTCTATTTAAATCTGGATAAAATGAAACCAATGAAATCAAACAAAAATGATTGTTCAATCCCTCTGCTAATCCTTTAACCAATATATTTTATCAATGTAAATAATAATTAAAAATTTATAATTAAAACCATAGAGGATTCGGACGCATTCCGTAATTTATTTACGATATCTGAACCACATGTTTATTATATTTTGTAATAAATGCAAACCTCCGCAAAAGCGTTGTCAATGAAGTCGTAACGTTCTCCCCTTTGATCGTTTATGTGCCCTAGCAAGAAATGTATACCCTTCCTAAACCTGTTGATCCTACAGCCGCAACATTAGAGCGTTTTGTCTACTACTGATAATTTACGCAATAAAGATGCGTCTAACTAAATTTGCGTTTGCAACTTAGTTAGTTGGGAGACAGAGTTAGGGGTTCGTGAGTATTGCTTGAAACTACCTACTTTTTCGGAGTTTTAGAAGAATATCGTCCTGACGTTTTGAAAGCACGAGTGCCTTGCGTCCTCAGAGATATTTGAATGGACAGCTTTTAAGTTGTTGCAAAAGAAAATTACTGCCTGACGTTTCACAGTTTCACCTTACGTTCTGCTTTATATATTTTCATTTAACTTCGTTCTGTTGTCTGCATTTTTTTAATTTCCAGGTCGTGAAAGGGCATATGTTTTAAACTGTTTTCGTGCCTCTAATAATTTTAAAAGCCAACCGTTCACTAAGGCATGTTTTAATATACCCTTCTATACTAGATTATGGCTTTCCTAAGCCGCTAAAATTGGTCAGCTGGATAATGACGTCCGGAGTAGGGTAATAAGCGTATGTGCCACCTGTATAATGTCATACCATGTTCGACCCTAGTACATTAAAAAATTCCCATAACTTTGTAAAAACCAGCAGACCCAGGCTATAAAGTTCAGTGAAATGTGGCCAATTGTTGGCCTTCTGTTCTTTATTTCATTTTCTGAATTGAGACTATTGGTTTGTAATGGCTTTTTAAAAGAAAGGCTTTTATTCAGTTTTCGTAGACATCGATGACTTGATTATGCCGAGTCAAACCAAAACCAATTCTATTTTAATCCGTGATTATTTATTAGAAATTGTACACATTCTTTGAGTTTATCCGCAACTTATTTACTACTAAATAATCGTTACTAAACCACTTCCTAACCGATTATTCTTATCCCATTTTAAATATTCAGCAAAGTACCTAATATATGTGGGCTTGGGGACCTTTCGAGACTGAAAACATGTAAAATAAACAAAAATATAACGTCTAGATTTTTGGCAAATGAAGATAAAGGCATCTAACTTAGCTAATCCGTTTACCCTAAGACGAGGGGCGATTGAGTCTATTGCGTATATGATAAGGTTCTCTACTAACCCTCTCATTTTATATCCTTAGACATCCCCTTTTTATTCCGTAGGAAACGGCAAAATATAAGAAGATCTGCATGACTCATAATTCGTTTAATCCGTATATAACAAGCATTCGTATGCCCGATTTTTTTAGCCCTAAGCATTATTAGTCTTTGAAATTATTAACTAAGCTGATCAAGAGCAAGTCCGCTGTATTTGTATTATCAAAATAATCTTCCATACAGTCGTTTTGAGCGTATACTTCTCCAGATTATGTTTTCTGTAGAAATGTTAAAGCAAACAACGTTTATTATGGCTTTTGTTTTGAATGCTAATTAAGTAACTTTATAAAGCTTTTTGGGGGGAATAAAGTAATACGAGTATTAGGAGAAAAACAATGGATAATATTTTTGCACGTCACGAGGTTAATTTACCGTTCCAGCAAAGAAAATAATTAATAATTGTCTTTGAAGACTTTGGGAATGGGGCACAAGAGCAAAACTAAAAAACAATTTAAACTGCGCATTTATGCAAACGCATTTACCGAAAAAATATCCTGCTTCCTCTTCTATTTCCTGAAAGAAGAACAAACAAACATCCATTAGCATTGATATAATTTCGGATAGGCACAAATTACATAACGCATTGTAGTTGAAAAATTAAATTTTCCCCCTAAAGAGTTTAAATTAAATAATTTTCAGATAATGGATTTGGCTGCGAACATAAAGGCAGATGATTTATAAAATAAAATAAATTATATATCAGGATTATCCGAGTTTGTATTATACTTCCTGTGAGTGGGATTACCACTATTTCCGCAAGCCCGATATCATTCATGCTCCAATAATACGCACATATTTAAAATGTGTGCATGTATTTACTGACTTTTATAATAAATAATAATTTGGCTGGCTTGTATTTTTTCGCTCTCTGAAACGCAAATTTGAAATGTAATTAATTATCATTCTAAAGGTATCAACAACTAAATCTTAAACAATGATTTACAATTAATTTTTTATTCACGTTGAACAATTGATCAAATATCGGTAAATTACTATTGTATATACATTATTCTAGACACATGTTATTTTATTTAAATGTTTTTGAAATTCATTAAATTTCGACATTAAATTCCATATACAGATAAAAGGTAAACGGTAATCCATTATTACCACCCAAATATTAATAATAATTTCGTATTTTATAATGGCTTTTTAATTACGAAAATAATTTTATATTCTATATATTTTAAATGTATTTTATTAATTCAGTGCCTAAATCCAGTGCAGATTGTAATATTGAAACGAAAAATCACTGATTACCCGAAATTAAAATGATGAAGTTCATTGAAATGTGGTATTTACAAGTTTTAACGGTTTATTACTAGGCAGATGTGTTAGTCGCTGTTGGGTAAAATATTACAGAGCTCTATAAATTAATAATTTTAAAATTATCCATGATGGAGTTAAATCCATGTACATTAGTTATAAAAGATATCATTTCTTCAAAGATTACACAATATACATCATACGCTACCGTGTCACTAAATAATCCACTAAACGACTGTCTTTGACTCGTTTTGCTTATCAGGAGTCTTTATTTTAGAAAAGATTAACAGTCAATGTTTGCCGTTTAATTATCCAGAACATGATCAAGTAATTTTACTTAATCTTAACTATAAAACAATACATTTTTGTAACATTGTATTGAAGCAGGTTAATCTATGCAAAGTAGGTAAATGATACTACACAGTTACGCAAAGCTAAAATAACACCTTGCCAAAGCTCTGAAAATATAAGGCCCAAACAGAATAGTTTATAATATCGGTGTTATAAGCGTCAACGTATGCGATAATTTGGCTTATTAGATAAATCTGAGCAAAATATGTCTCTATTTCCAGCTCTCTTAATCTGGGTTAATTGGGATCAAGCAGCGTAACAATAGCTGCAATGAGATTATTATTTTAACCTGATATAAAACACCTTTGGTAGTCTAGCAGGAAGCAGGAATGTGAATGGCACTGTGATCAAATGTGATTTTATTTTCCAGAACCAAGCATTGGCCTTGACGCGAAGCAGCAAGACGCCACCTTCTTCGGCAACCGGCAGGACTAGCAGAGACTCTGCAGAACGAGCATCAACACCTACACCTGCATTATCATCCACTCCTCTTGATAATACCGTATCTCCTCATTCGACCAAAGAGGAAGCATCTTCAGGTAATATATTGTTCTTAGTTCCACTGTGGAAATTTTCACTCCAGTTCCAATCCAATTATCGTAAAAAATCTTCGGGATTAATTTTTTGTGGAAGCTTGATGGGTTCTTACGACTAACAAACGAATTAAAATACCCGCTTAAAATCCTCTGAATTTCTTTTCGACGTTCTATAGCTAAGCCCAAGTCTCTTTAGGTACGTTAAGTCGCGATTAAGGATCAGAGGAACCGCTAATCCTTCGATATGTTGGGGTCACACGCTGCTTTGGCCTCCGAATACGACTTGAAACCTGTTTAACTCTTAACTTATGTATAATCCTCATAATACAGGATGTAAGGCCATTTGTTGGAGTTGCTTTTAAGACAGCAGTCTATTTTTACTTGCACGTTACTGCCGCAGAATTGACACCAAAATTTATTAATCACATTTAATGCGTTTTTGGCCGAGTCTATGGGCGATTTGACGATTTTCGGAAATTTCACAATACACAGTTGCTGTACAGTTTGTCAACATCCTGCATAATGATTAATTCGGCTCAGGATTAAGATTTAAGCTATTGGTGCGTGTTATCGGTGCCGTCCAGAAATACACGCTGGATTGGCAGTCTGCTTTATACCCGCTTTTCACTGCAAAGAAGTTTCTTCGAACAATGGGTCTACTTGATACAACGAACTGGACGTGAGTGGACCATTTCTAAGACATCCGAAGCATTTTTTCAGGTTGAAAACAGTTTATTGACTGACTTCTCAGTCATAAATGTTCGAAACCGAGTGCTGCTCAAATGAAGTTTTCCAGCGTTCTATAAAGACGCAAATATTCACTTAAATTGAACTTTTTACGCCCTAATGGCTTCTACAGAATTAGGATGCCGATGAGCAATTGCACAATAAAATGAAAAATTAGCCACTAATTTGAATGTCGAATTAAGCATCAAGATCAATGAAAATTAGGGATTATACGTAAAGTATTTGATGACGAGCTGATTATTTCTGCAAGTGTATTCAACAGGAGCGGGAATTGATCCAGAAAGCATTGGTAGGCCAGTTAAAGCTGGATTAGGCTTTAAAGGTAGGGAATTAGAGAAAGCCGGGATTAGAGGGCCGTGGCCTCTCTCCTGCCCGCTCTGTCTGCTTTGAGAAGGGAAACGGAGGATTAAGCCTTGCGATGGATTAACATTCGTAGGGGATCAGATATAGAAAAATTGAAACTTGAATATGCGACCCCTCAAATATAATTTTAATCGCGCTTAAGCTTCTGGCAGCAGCGCGAAGGAAATTTCAAACATTTAGAAACTGTACAGTGAGTGCCAAAGCTGATGTCTAAATTCATTTAAAGTTTTCCCGTCAATTTTTATTTATAAATGCGATTTTTGCGAAACTGTTGAGTGTATGTTACCTAAGACATGCTGAGAATCCAAAATTGGATTATGAAGCAGGTGCTTCCATTTGAAAAAAAAAAGTTGATGGTCGCAATCTATTTTTCGCTCACGTGTAAATAAATACAACATAAAAAAACCGCATTTAAAAATAACAATTTCCGGGTCAGGTTGATTTATTTACGCTTCGCAAATATAAAGTGTCTTACTAAGAACGAAATGGCAAATAAAGTTAAAGGTAAACAAAGAATGCCGTAATTAATAAAATTTTCTTAAACATTAATGACAAAGTTTATGGCTCCAGCTTATCTGATGTTGACCTATGACTTTCGGCAAATAAATCTTCAGTAAGAGAATTCGTTTCTCAGTAATTATGGCATTAAACTCCAATATTCCTTTAATTGAATTGGTTTTCAGACATGTTTTTTATATTGCATGAAACAATAATGATACATGGTTTTTGCCGCGGAAGCGAAATTGCAATGGCAACGATCCGTACTTAATTAAAAATATTTCGTTTTAATATTAAGATAATTTAGCAACATTATAGGATTGGAAAATCTTACGCCATACAAAAAGAAACAAAAGAACTTATTAGAGTAAGCGGATTTTTCGGAAACAAGCCATATAAATTAATAAGCAGGTTAGCGATAAAAAGGAATGTAAATCAAAGCAGAGCATCGAACCTCTTATTTAATTACTTCTTTGATCGTTTGGTCCGGAGTTTTAGAAAAGTTGCTATGACTTTAAGAAGCCTTACCGAAAATTATCCTAACCTTTCATTTTGCATCATTAAGCTCAGATTTTCTTTTTGCCGTAGCTTTGAATGAGCCTAAGGCTTAATACAGGAGCGCTGTAGTTGCCTTCCTTATGCTGCCCTGCTAAGACAGGAAGTCGTATCTGCAAAACCCAAGTTTTGAGATATTAAGCAATTTGTAAATTATGACATGCCATCTTCGCTTATT